GAAGCTCTAAATCTAGTAATGAAGGACAGGAAGAAATATTGCGAAGTTATTGAAGAATTCACAGGTACAAAATGATGGTGGGTGATCGATAATAATGAGTCAGTGTTAGAAATTATCAAATAAACAATCGAAAAACAAAAGCGAACTCAGTCATCACCTCTACGACTTCAATTCCCTATATACAAATGTTCCTCCCGAGTCTAAAGTAGCACTAGAGTTTATCATTAAAAATAGTTTTTCTAACAAGAAAATGAAAGACAGCTGGCTCACAACTGGCTCAGCCATGTTAATGTTATGATTTTAATCGACTCTGTATCTGTGTTCTGGCTAAATAAACTGTTTCAATATCAAACAAGTGTGAAGATTTCTGGAGTAATACTTCCTCGAGGAGAAACTTTTCGTTTAACAAAATGTCACTCACATCTTGCGTCAGAGTCTTGATAAATAACACATATTTTAAGTTTGGGGTTGAAACAGAATATTGGTATACCCAGAGTAAGGAGAACAGACCCCGGCCAGGGTTTTACCAACGTGTTCCTTCACTGTTACGAGTTAACTTTCATGAAGAACAACACTCGAACAAAATATGGGGCGACAAAAGATTTTGACCATCCTTTTTATCCTCGCTCTCCTTATTTTAATTTCTTCCTTTGCTACCTTCCTCCCGCACAGTCACACACCTGCACCTGGTGGACGTAGACAGTCCGGGTTGCTGCCACATTGTAACAGAAGCCCGGTTGAAGGTGGCAGTTTTATCCCTTACATAGTGATTTGTTTAGTGTGTGTGTGTGTGTGTGTGTGTGTGTGTGTGTGTGTGTGTGTGTGTGTGTGTGTGAGAGAGAGAGAGAGAGAGAGAGTCCTTGGTTAGTTTTATGGACACCTCGCGTGACGTATTTATATTACCAACTCTTTTTATGTCGTGGCGCCATAAATTTTCTGTAACGAGATCGAAATAAAATAAAAAAAGGGAATTAGACGCAATGCGAATTTTAAACATTGCGACAAGAAACAGGTTCGTGATTTTTATTTATTTATTTATTTTATTTATTATTATTATTTATTTATTTATTTATTTTTACTATTATTATTATTATTTTTTAATAAGAATGACGTCGTGTTACCGTGTCGGGTTTATACTAGGAGTAATTCAATGGGTTCTAACGCAAGGTCACCTCCCTAGTCCCTCTTTCGTTTATTTATATGTCACTCGAGTAACACTTTTCCTGACTGAAGAACTGCTCGAGAACCTGATGAACTGAGTGATTGACTGATTGACAAACTGATGAACTAATTATCTACCTTAATTGACTTTCACTGACATGATATGGCCAACTGACTGACTGACTGACTGACTGACTGACTGATTGGCGGGTTAACTAATTCACTGACTGTTAGAGAGAGATAATTTATAAGTACCCGAACCCTTTATTAAATTTGTATTTTTTTATAATCCAGAACTTAAATTTTTCTTGAAGGCATAGTAGTAGTAGTAGTAGTAGTAGTAGTAGTAGTAGTAGTAGTAGTAGTAGTAGTAGTAGTAGTAAAATATAACCAAGAGCCATATATATACCCGTAGAGGAATTAATAGCTTGAAAAATTAATGGATTTATGGCATTTTTGACAATTTTCGATAGTTTGGCGAGGGTCACAAAAATACAACCACGACCATTGTTCTTACCCTGTAGATAACAATGTTTTTAGTCGTAGTTGTTGTTGTTGTATAGATATAAGCCAATCGATAACGCTGTTCTCACTATCCTGCCTGCCACCCCCCTCCCGCCCTATCATGTTTACTGATTGGTGTTCCTTGTTGAGATTGTGAGTTTATGTTGTGTTAGCACTATCACTATCACTGCTGTGTGTGTGTGTGTGTGTGTTCACTCAGAAACAGTTTTTCTATATAATAAACAACACACACACACACACACACACACACACACACACACACACACACACACACAGGAGAGTAAGGTCATAAGAGCAGCAGTATTGTGGCAAGAACAGTTAGTTAGTGGTTGGTAGTGTGGGCAGGAGACGGGGTGTGGCAGAGTACAGTAAGGAGTGAAAAGGTGAAAGTGGGGCGTAGCAGCCAACGAGACGCCTTCCACCCGTCAGGGAGTGTCGAGTCCTGCAAGGTCATCTACCAACATCCTGCCCACACCTCACTGCTTACGCCCTGAGCAGTCCTAATAAATCCAAGTCTAAAATTATCGTAACTTTTAGAATTTGGATCCAGTTCTAATAGGTTCCCAGTCCAAATGGTTATGCTAATTTGAGGAATGTTTGGATTGGAGCCCCTTTAGCCTGCCCACATTCCCACTCCTCCCTCTCTCAGTGATCATGGTAGAGAGGGCTGAGAGAGGAGGAACTTGTGGTGGAATGATGGGATGGAGGGTATAGATATAAGATAACATAAACATAACAGGAAAGGCAGAGATTTCTATAAGATAACATTACACAACTACTCTAGACTGTTACTTCCTTACGCTTTCTGGTTTTTTTTTTTTTACCGTAAACTTTTTTACCGTAAACTTTGTGTTTTGTTTATATACCACAGCGGGGTCTCCTGGTTGATTGGTTTTGAGCATTATTATTTATCAATCATTTTGTACTCGTAAAGGTATTGTACATTCACAAACAAAAATCCCTGCACACGTCTGAGTCTATGAACTCGTTTGTCTACCCACAGATGGCGTTGTAGCAGTTCCGAACAGGAGTGTAAAGAGACTACTGTTCGTGAATGTACATATTCTTTTCACTCGCAGAAATAACACACATGGCCATACTCCTCTGTACGAGTATAAGTGTACTCAGTATACTCTATTTATGTTCCCTAATATCACTGTACGCCTTTAGAAATAATCCTGCGGTGCTCTCGATGACCTTGTCTCTATTATTCCGTTAATGCCGTAGTCTCTCGGGGCTGTGTATTAGCAACAACTCTCTACACATAAATGTTCCTTCAGAGAGAAACAATTCTATTCACTCCTCTACAGATGACTCAACACTCTATGGGTCCTTCACTCTGCCAGACATTAGACACCTTCACCTAATTGGAAGATCTCAATGAATGCAGTGCAAACACCTTGGCTTCCTTCAGTGTTACTTTAACAAAATACTTCATATTAATAACAGGCACGAGACTACACAGTTTAACATAAATTTTGACAACACCATCATTCCATCATCACCTTTATTTACTTCAAGCCTTACCATGATAAACTTCCACAGAAATTTAGCCAAAAAGTGGTCCAGTGAAGCTTACAGTAGACTCAAGTACAGAATTAGGCCTTACTTTACCGTTGAACATTTGACAGCCATTTGTGTAGGCCATGTCTGCTCTCAGATGGAATACTGCTGTCATCAGTGGGTTGAGTTTAGTGTTGGGGTACTTCTCGTCGATCCGGTGTAAAAAAATCAACAATAATGACTACCAGAAATTATCATCATTTCACATTCTCGGGGATATCTCATCGCTTTCCGCCATGCCATATATACCGTTCTATATATTTACACAGACAGAGCTGTGGAGAGCTGAGCTCAAAAGTGCCGCCATCCACAATCGACCCTTTATGACCTTTCACTTAAAATTCCAAAATGCACAACTTATGTCGAAAAGAATTCATTTATATTCTGGACTAACATTCTGTGGGACTCCTTGTCACAATGTGTTTCTCTGTATCATGTGATGTGACATCAATCAGTTCAAATCAAATCTTCGGAAAGTTTTCAATCTTTGGCAAGGGGACGCCTCAGTTAATAGACATAACAATGTTCTAATTTCTCCCTGCGCTTTTATTTGTTAAAACAACCAAACTGCCACAGAATGGGAAGGGTTTATTTTAGTACTGCAGCGGTTTGGTTTGAACGGAAGTTGTGTACCGAAGACAAGTGATGGAGGGTTCAGTATCTACAGTTCCCCTAAAAATACTGCAAGTTCCCTGAGTACAGAACTGTCACTGGTTTTCAACAGCTACTAATCTCGTAGCTTTCGTTGATGCTCCGAGTAGCTTCGATTTTTTTCCAGTGTTTCCTCTATAAATGTTTTAGCACTTCATGTTTGGTCGATGATATTGTGGACAGTAACATGGAGGTGTAAAAAGGACGCGACAACATACTGCCACCAGCGTCTCAGACCATCATAACTGAGTACTTAAAGCAGAGATGATAATGGCGGATCAATGGCCCCAGGTGACGTTTCAAAGTTTTCTTCAATTTATTACTCCGTGGAAGTGACGTAGGCGGATGACGCAAGAGGATGACACAAGCTCAATTACGGCAGTTATCCTGTCGTCAGGTGGTCGCCCGGGACTTGGTGCCTCGCAGTCTTACGTTTGAAATTGTTTCTAAACTGGTGATGAGGACACGTCAAACCTGCCCCATAAAGTCATGACACAAATATTATACGTTCTGTCATCCCACTTGGGAGAAAATAAAGTATGTACGAGTGTCTGAGAATCTACCGTAACTAAACTCGTTCACTTAGTACCAGTTAGTGGACAAAATTAAGATAGAGAAATGGTCTTTAACCTTGATTTTGATTTTTTTCGAACTTTCGCGCTCCTTCCTTCCATAACGGTGGGTGGCGGCAGGCATCTGAAGCACGTACAGTACAGACTCCCTTCAGTCGCTGTCACTCACTGGTTCTCGCTGCTGTAACAGATGTGTGTTACTTCCTCGAATATTTATCTGGTTTGCCCTGTTGCTTTACACTGTACAAATTATAGAATGATACACTAAAAAGATTAATATTGATATAAGTAAGCAGGATAATAATGACATTGATAATTATAATATTAGTAACGATAATGATGATAATAATAATAATAATAATAATAATAATAATAATAATCCAAATCCTGCATAGAAAAATTATTCCCAGTCCAGTATTTATAGAAGAATGACGTCCAACAGTTAGATGGTTGATCAGAGGAAATACTGAATATTTAGAAACGTGTGTTTTATGGGTTACTAATTTGACTTTCATTTTTTTTTTACAGGTGAGAGAGTGAGCGACACAGTACCAGGGTCTAGCAGTGACCGAGGCAACAGAGGCTGGTATGTTGGAGGCGGAATTTAGTGTTGGAAAAGTACCTCTGTTAGTACCTTTAAATACCCTCAAATATATATATATATATATATATATATATATATATATATATATATATATATATATATATATATATATATATATATATATATATATATATATATATATATATATATACATATACATATTAACGTAGACGACACAAACCAGCTAAACGTAAGATAACTGATTATACCACAGAATCGTTAAGTTACGCTAATTTAAGTTTGGTTAGGTTAGGTTAAGAGTAAGAAACGATATATGTATGTTATGTTGCCAGTAGTAAGAGAAACAATTGAGACCCTGCAATTGTGTGTAAATGAGGCAGAAAGTCAGTTCAGCAACCTGGGACTTGGTCAAAATTTTTGTGATGCTATATGGCAGCAGAGTCTACCATTAGACAACACATTCTACTTCCAATGTCTTCCCAGGCGGTAGTACTGTACCTCCCTGTTTGGTAGCTGCCTACTACCTGCTACCTTAGGTTTGGTTGTCTTGGTTGTGTTTTTTCCAAACATATACGTAGTACGTCTATCACTGATCTGACTACTGTATGTTGTCTCCAGTGTCCTGTCATCCCTTTTAAGTGCAATAATAATAATGCTAATTAATTTAGAATTACGTTCATGTGTAGTATAATGAACAAGGAGTATATCAGAAATAGTGCACCCTAGCACACATACACACACAATAAGGCATATTTTTGACACTATATCTAACACCATGAAGTGTACTCACTAACATATATAGAGTATTTCGTCCCCCACCATATCTGGTGTCTACAAACCCTCGTGTGTACTGTAGGCTACTTGTAGTGTTAAGGTGATTATTTCTTTGTGCTGTCGTTGAAGTTCGTCCATGGTCTTTTGTTGTTATATATCAAGATGTAGTTCATTGAGTGTAGACATAAAGGATAACTCAACAGCAACCGCAATGATCACTTTGTTTTCAGGTGCTTACAACAGGTGTGGCGAAGCCTTGTTTAACCTTAGATTATTAAAATTATATCCCAGACTTCATTATAATGTATAGCTTACTGTACATGAATTAGAGGACTACAAGATGTTAAATGAGTAGCATAGACTATACACATACCCTGCCGGAAGGCGACTTAGAAATTTCCTTCAGTACCGTCTTCAGTATCGTCTATCAGGGTAGAGGGAATGTGTCCCTTACTGAGAGCAACAGCTGAACCCCATGAGTGGACGCCGCCCCTGGAGTGGGAGATTACTGCGGTCTATACAGTACTAGTATTACAGACTGGGGAACCTGGATACTGTCTCTCTTCAGCAGTCGAGTGCACAACGCGCGTATTGCCCAACTGAACGCAGCTCTGTTACTCGGCATTATGCAGAGGATTACTTGATGGAGCTGAGAGTCGTGGTGGTGTGTCACATTACAGTATACTGGATAGTATTTGTCTTTGGCTGTAGTCAGTCTCAGGTCTGTCTCTCAAGGTAAAAGACTCTTCAACTAAATATTATTGAAGCGTCTTTGTTGGCCTCCTCCTCTTCAGTATTTCATTGTATTTATTTCTTTTCTCAAGTTTATCTTTTAGTAAATAAATTGTTGCATAAGGCCTAGCCAGAGAAGCCCAATATCCGCTGGAGCGGTGAGATCCAGGTGTTTTAAAATCATATGACCTTAAGTGCCAGCCATGGTGCTAGATATACTGTATATACAATGTATGTGAAGAGGCTTCGTTTACCTTTTTACTGCTTATGTTTCCTCATTTTTCTTTTACCCTTTTAACAAGTGGTGATAGGCGAGGAACACCAGTTTAGTTATGAATGTATAAATTTATGATACTCACAACAGAATCAGATATTATCATTTACGCCATATATGTTGACGAGTGCTAGGATGCATTGCGTTAGAAAATACATTATCACTAACCTCATGTGCAGTATTTGTATTCGTGGGGCCCCATTAGGACTGTACCACAATCTTAAGTTGGGGTTCATTTAGGGAGGTAATTATCCTAATGGCCAGATTAAGTTAGGTGGCGTTAGGGCCTGTTAGGATTGAGGTGTATTTGGCCAGTCACCAGTAGGGAGTTCAAGGTTAACCACTACTCCCTCTCCCGCGGCCCCGCCCTCCCCAACACAATGCAAATCCAATAATCTTGTATTACCAAGAAAAAAATCGTGAAGCCCCACAAGATGTCTGTTTCTCCGAACTTCTTTTTTCTTTTCTCTTAACCGATACTGCCGATTGGGATCACCTGGAAATCTGCTCCCCAGTTTATTTCACCTAAACATTAACCTCCCTAACACTATTTGGGAGAGGGGGGTGAGGTTAGGTTAGGTTACCGTTCGAGTGGTTAATTTTTAGGTGAACTAAGCTGGGGTGGAGATTTTTCATAGATACACTGATTGTTCTCGATACAAAAAAATTTCCGCAGTGGAAATAATGTAAGAAATAAGCTCCGCAATCTAACCGAACTCTAACTTATCCTATAGGTTAGGTTACGATACCTTTTTTTTTTTAGGTAGAGGAGAGTAATGCTGGCTGATGCAGACGTATTAATTTTAACCCTTCAAACTGCGGTGTTTAGACTTAGCCAGGTTTAGTTAGAATTAAAGTTATTTGAGGTTTAGTTACGTTACTACCATTTCTCTACCTACAGTCAACCTTACGAACGTTCATGAGAGACATCAAAATATAACTGAGGGTAACACGCCAGCTTACTCGCGCCCCTTCAATACGCTCCCTTACAGCGTTGAGACGGCCATGTGCGTTCCTCTCGAAGGAAAGGTTTTGATACAATTCTCCGGGTCTTCTCTCTTTATCATCCTCGATATTCTTTGATGTTTCTCCTTAGTTTCAAGGGAACTTTATCCTTTTGGGGGGTTTATTTTGTTATTTACGCTTGAGTATTGCAGTTCTCAGAGATCTTTAACCGATGGTGGTGGCTGTCGTAGCTCTGACTCACACCGAGCGTAAGGGATTTATGAGTATTTCCCTGCACGAAACCTGTCTGTTTCTGGAGCTGCGTCTCACTGTGGTGTTGGGGCAGGTAGCCACGGGTTATGCCAAGCCCACCGGACGACTACCGAAGCAGTTGTCCATAGAGGAGAATCCTGACGGACCCTAATAAACAATGGACGTTGGGCCCCGATGAATCCTTGGATACAGTTGACTGCACTCCCATAGAACCTAGGATAATTCGACCCTGAATTTCACTGGACTCGTCTTGTTATCTTATTTACCCAATGATCACCCAACTCGAGGAGACCAGAGCCAGATAAACCAGAGAAGCCTATTATTCCCTGGTCTCTATGCGATCAGGTCCAGGTGTTTTTAGAAGCATGTGTCCTCAAGTGGCAGCCAGGGTGTTCGACTGAAACAATGTATATGCTTCTTTAACTCTTTCAGTGCTTCTTATGCTCCCCGTGAGGAAGAAGAGGTCTCCCCAGTCCAGGGTTCTCGTACCGCAGTGTGGCCTGGGCCTCTTTAATGTGCGGCCCTTGTAGGCTGCCTCATCTCCCGGCGGCTTTTCAACCTTATCCGATGTGAAATCTGCCCGGGTTGGGTGGTCATTCTGGTTCAGAAGGAGTCGCTCTCCATTACGAAATACCCTCAGGGATACGAGTGGCTCAAGTGATCGTGGTGGTAATGATGGTGCCGGTGGTGGTGATGGCGACGATGTTGGTGTTGATGGAGGTGGCGGTGCTGTTGGAGATGGTGGTAGTGTTGGTGTTGATGATGGTGGTGGCGGTGTTTTTGATGATGGTGATGATGGTGTTGTTGGGGAGATGGCTGCGGTATTGATACTGATGATGACATTAGTGGCAATATTTTGTTGTTTTTAGTTAACTATGGTAACGATGGCTGGTCTAGATTCCGCACACACACACACACCATGGTAATCCGCTAACCATTACACCAAATTACTTATCCATCAAATGACAGTTATAATAGATATAACAGAAGTGTGGAGATACAGGTAATTACTTTAGCTACCCACACAATACAAATGTGGGTAAAGAACTCTAATGCTAAAATTATTATGTAAATAGCGGAGATCACAAACAGTGTTGGTCTCTGTCACTGGAGGGAGGAGGTGTGTGTGTGGTTGCATGAGGATTAGCGACCCGAGGAGGCTTGGTGGATGTAATTTGTAGCAGCAGTCACGCGTGCTGTTCTAAGGCTCGGAGGGGGGGGGGTCTTCATGAAGGTCAACGCGGGTTATATAGCCCCGAGAATAGGTCAGGCTACTAGTGTACTCCACAAGTCAATGAGAATTATGGAATCAAGTCAGGCAGTAGGTCATGGGGGAAACAGAGAACTAGCAGGTCAGGTGAAGGAGCTGTCAGTGTAAGCGATGAGCCAGTCATATCAAAAGACAGGTGTGACCGTAGGGTAATAGTTCATAGGAAGAACTACGAAGTCAGGACAAGGGGCTGGTCAATGTACATAAGAACATAAGGTGATGAGACCAGGTCAACGAACGTAGCTGTGCACGTCATAAATCAATGCGAGATCAAGAGAGTCAAACCAGGAAGCTGCCTTTGTGAGGATTGGTCTAGGAACTGTCTGGCCAGATCAGGGTCAAGATGCTGTGAGTCTAGGGCAAGAGAGGCACAAGAGACAAGAGTAATACGTCAAGGAAGCATAAAGTAGGTCAAGAAAGAGGAAGGTTAGGTCAGGAATGCAGGAAGTAAGTCAAGGAAGAATAAGACGAGTGAAGGAAACAGGAGGTGGGTGAAGGAAGTTGGTGAAGAAGATAGGCGGTGGGTGAAGGACACAGAAGGTGGGTCAAGGAGGCAGGAGGAAGGTCAAGGGGTAGATGGTGGGTAAAAGAGACAGGAGGTGGGTCAAGGAAGAAGGTGAAGGAGGTAGGACGAAGGTCAAGGAGGCTGGAGGTAGGTCAAGGAGGCAGGAAGAAGGTCAAAGAGGCAGGAGGTAGGTCAAGGAAGAAGGTGAAGGAGGCAGGACGAAGGTCAAGCGGGGAGCGCGCGGCGGT